ATCTTAAACTCAAACTGTTTTCTATTTTCATCCAAATGACTAGGATGCTATCTTTGTAATTCTTTGAGGTCATATTTGTGAAATAAACAAACATGAAAGCTTTCCTGTCATATACACTATATGTAGTCTGGAGTGTTGAGCAAACTTGAGTTTCTGAATTGTAGTATCTATCTACATATGGTATTTACAATTTTGAATGTGTGCCACTACCAAGGTAATAATGCTGTACAATTTTGAATGGTGGTAGTTTCTGTATGGCAGTCCAGCTGAACTATTTTGATGTACTGCTTAATTTTTGAATTTTATTTTTTAAGTTGTATAATTTATTTTCTTGCAAAATAAAAATGTAATATAAAAGACTGCTCATTCAGCAAGGTATTTTGGTGTCTTCCCCTGCAAAATTTTTAAGTTGAATTGAGATGCTGCTCCTGAAAAATACCACTGTATGAAATTTGCCTGATTCCAAGTCCTGAAGTCTATTATGATCAGAGTACTAAAAAAAAGAAAGAAAGAAAGAAAGTAAAAACTTCCAGTTCCTTTCTTGTCAAGATTTTTCAAGATTAAGGTGTAAATATGTAGAACTATTTAATCTTCCAAATTCTATTTAAAGACTAGTCTTTAAATGTATTGAAGCCTGCTGTGCCAGAAGTGTCTGGGAGTGTCTGACTTTATGGCATTTTTTAAAAGGGTTACGTCTCTGTCTAACTTACTGGGAGGTACTTGGATTGCTGAATGTTTTTGTTGATTTGTCTCTGAAATTACTTCTAATGAGTGTCACTGAAAATTACTGCTGTTGTCACCAGATTGTTGGGACCCTCAGGTACCTGATGCTGCAGTAAACAAATGGTGATGTGGGAACAGTTGATTGCCCCAAGGAATGCTTTTACTGCAATGGCTTTACTTCTCTGATTGTCCTTGCCTTTTAATGTGAATCTCTTTTTACATTTCAACTTTTAAGTGCACCTGCTAGCATCAGTGTTCTGTGCTTTCTGGTATATGCAAAGATCAGAACTATTTTTATGGAATAAATAACTATTTGAGTGGCTACTCGGTGCACACAGGAGTTTTCAAACTGGCAACTCTTCCAGGCAGAACTTTGATAGCATGCTGCCATTATTTTAAAACCATTTTTCCTGTTAGAACAAAGTGTTGTCTTTCACCAGTGTTTTTTCAGGTGGAGTAATGCTCTAGAACTATGCGAGTTATCACAGGTGTTGCTTAGCCAATTCAGCTCCTAGTAGTTGATCACAATTTAGTTAGAATCATTGACCTTAATATGAAAGGCTCTAAACCTGCTTCATTCTTCATATTAACTTGAGAACTTCATTTACTTATTTGCTTTATGTGTAAACATCTTTCTCTGGCTGTAGGCATGGTGCCTGCATTTCATCCTTATTTATTCTAATTCTGGAGATGCAGTCTGTAACTTCAATTGAATCCAGTGCTCCAAGCTCTGCCTGTGCTCTGAAGCACCTGCTGCTTCCATCTGCTGACCTGGGGCATAGTCAAAGCAAATCTTGCCTCCTGAAAGCTGAAAATTGGTGACTTTGAAGTTACATTGTCATTGTTTTTGATGAGGTGCTGAAAGAATCAAAGAAGGGAATGCACAGTGTTTTCTTTCTGAATGCCTTTCTGGTTTTGAGACCGCAGTCTTGATACTACATGTGTGCAGCTTGGGATTTGCCATCTATCGCAGTCTTTGATTTCTACCAATGAAGACATTAAGGGAGTTGCACCTCCTGCATTTTTTGTAGCAGGCAGTTGGAGCTTAGCTCAAGCTGAGGTAACTAATGCAGGGTTTATTGCACCAAACAGGCAGTCTAGATGTCAGTAGGCCCCCCTGGCCCAGATTACATTCAGCCATTGCTTCTGAAAGAACTGAGGAGTGAAACATGACTGCTTGCTAAGGTGTGTCACAGCCAGCTTCAGTGCCAGGGGACTGATGGGATGCCAACAGCTTTTGACTAGGTTCCACACCACATGGAACGAAGGCAACCAAATGGCCACGGAACAAAGAAACCTACAGCTGCAGCTGGGAGAGGAGCATTCTAATGTGGATGTGACTGAGCCTTACAGAAGCAGAAAGGCAGAGTAAGGCTGAACTATTTTCACAAAATCCTGTAACATCAGTACTACCACTACTTGATTGAAACCAGCAGAAGATTGCTTTAGAAGACAACTTGTTCCAGGTGAAGCTGGGGCTGCAGATCACAAGTATCAGCAGGTTCAAAGAGGATTAGAAAAATTAATGGAAACAAGTCCAGGGAAGAGTTAGGTTGGATATTAGGAAAAATAACTTTACTGAAAGGGTTGTCAGGCACTGGAGCAGGCTGCCCATGCAAGTGATGGAGTCACCATCCTTGGAGGCATTTAAAAGATACATAGATGTGGAGCTTAGGGACATGGTTTGGTACTAGACTTGTCAGTGCTAGGTTAACAGTTGGACTTGATTATCTTCTTTTCCAACCAAAACAAATCTTTGATTCTATGAAGTCCATAAACAGATAATAAAGGCAAGGATAGATCTTCTAACATCACTAAAAGTGAAGCTGGATGCTGGGAAAATGTACAGAAAGCACCCTGGCTCTTCTGCTCAGCCTCAGGCAGTGGTTGTGGGGGATGCTACTGAGCTACAGTCCCTATTGAAGTCTGTCTTGAATTTTCTTAAATACGAATTATCATGAAAAAATCCTGAGGAAGAGTGGAGAGGAAAATGGAAGGAAAAAATTAAAAAGCAACCAATTGACTAGAGGAAGCAACAGCTGCAGGAGGGGAGGAGAAGATATGTGATGATCACAGGAACAAAAGAGTAAAGCATAGGGAAGCACTCGGCTGAGCACCTGAAGAGCAGGTCCCTGCAGAGGCCAAAGTCTGTGCTGCAGAAGTCCAGGACAGCAAGCTTGCTGTGCGCCCTTCTTGCTGCTCTAAGGACCTGGAACTCCATTATACCATGGTGTTCTGGTTTGGTTTAGTGAAGGGCCACAGGGGTGGCTCCAGTAAGAAGCTAAGAAGCTCCCCCTGCTCCAAAACCCAGGCAAGGAGCCATTGGAGGGACAATAGATGCACCTTTGTCATTAACATACAAAAGAACTGATGTAACACCTGAGCAGAGAAGCACTTAGGGGAGAGAACTGTGCTGGAGGAGGAGAGCTGTGCTGGTGGTTGGTGGGGAAGAAGGTGCCCAAGCAGAAGTTTCCCTGCAACCCGTGGTTAGATGGCAGCTGTGCCCCTGCTCTCATGGAGGAACATGATGGAACATTCCCTGAAGGTGCCAGGAGGGGTGAACTTGGCCAGTGGACTTGGATTTTGTGGCCAGAGGATTTGCTGCCTGTGGACTCTGATTGTGCAGCTTTGGAAGACCCTGGTGCCAGGGGAGTTTGTTCCTGAAGCACCCGTGACTCTGTGAGAAGCCCAGGCTGGAGCAGCTCCGGACCTCATGGGAAGGACTCATGAAGGACAAGTTTGTGGAGGACTCTTTCCTCTTTCCCATGGGAGTGAAACAAAAATTCGGAGCTTCCAAACACTCCTCACCAAAGTGGGAGTGTCAGTGCAGCCGGGTGACGATTCTGAGATGAAGACCCAATAACAACAAACAAGCTGGTGTTGGGCAGACATTCTTTATTGCAGTGCTGGGCAGCACTGGGGATTGTCCACAAAACACCCCAATATATGCCAAAAACATACATATTCAGTTCCATGTGAATGAGTTCCCAGAATTCTTTTACGTAGTAATTTTATTTCCTGGAATTGGCTGTCTTTGTAATTATGCATGCTTGAGAGTCTTCTGGGAGGGTCTTTGTTGATTCTAGTCCTTTGTCATCTTTGTCCTGCCTCCCATCCTGGTCCTGTCTCCAGTCTCCCGCTGGTGGATTGCCCAGGTGGGTCAGTATCAACCTGACTGTTGTCTGTAGGCACCACAAGTCTTAGAAGACTTGATGTAATCACAACCTGCAGGATGCTTGGCATAATTGACTGATGGTTTCACAAAGCACATTGTTTTAAAAGTAACCTGTTCAGCTAACTTAGTACAGCAAATTAATTATTTTAGTAAATTTTTATTAGGCTAGATTTCTATTGAATCTACTAATGAGTATCCTATAACTATCAGGAGAGACCCCATGGGGAAGCAGGGAAGGACTGTAAGGAATCCTTCTTCCTGAGGAGGAAGGAGCAACAGGAACCACCAGCCTGTGAACTGACTCTAAACCCCATCCCCTGTCCCCCTGTGCCACTGGGGGGGAGGAGGGAGAGAAACCGGGAACAAAGGGATTTGGGCCCGGGAAGAAGGGAGGGATGGGGTAACATATGCAAGCCCTGCTCTGTGTGTGTCTGTGTCCTGTGTGTGTTTGTTTGGTGTGAAATTAAATTATTATTTTTTCCCCAAGTTGAGTCTGTTTTGCCCGGGACCTTAATGGGTGAAGAACCCTCCTTGTCCTTTGTCTTGACCCGTGAGCTTTATCCTCCTTATCCCAGAGTGTGTGTGTGGGGTGAGGAGTTGAGTGAGTAGCCATGGGGCTGTTCCTTTGTTGTCTTGTTGGGCCCAAACCATGACATTAATGGCAAGCCAGGCAGGAGAGAGAGAGACAAGGACCCATGACACATGGTCACTGCAGCCAAAGCTGCCCTCAAGTTTCATGTTCCCTACTTAGCCTCTCCTTGTTGGTGAGATCAAGGTCCAGCATAACACCTCTCAGTGGATCCTCTAGCACTTGAAGATGGAGAACTAAGTTTTCGTCAACACATTCCATGAACCTCCCAAATTGCTTATGCATTCCTGTATTGGACTTCCAAAAAACTCTGGGCTGTTTGAAATCCTCCATGAGGACCGGGGCTTGTGAACGCGACACTCAGTGCTTCCTATCTGTCTATAGAGGACCTCATCCACTCATCTCAAAGTGAAGCAGTATGTTCTTGTATGAATATCCTTTTGTTTGACAGTAGGAATGATGACCAGAATTGTTTTCATCTCAGAAGATCATACAAGAGCTCTAAATACCATAATGCAGAGGAACCTCTCCACAGATGGGATCTGCACCGTGGGCTGTGTGCCAACTGGAGGTGTGCCTGATGCTGCACAGCCTGGGTTCCCAGCATCTGAAGGAAGGTAAGATTACCTTTACTGTCCTCTCTTTTCCTTCTTGTGTGAGCTCTAATAAAGGGCCTGTCAGTATGTTTGGGAGCCCAAGTGCCTTTCTGGCTGAGATGATAAAAATGCTAGTCCTGGTGCATTTTCTAGGCTGTGTCCTGGAAAAAAGGGCCTTATACTGCAGGAGTGAAGATGAAGTTAGAGAAGAGCTTCCCCTTTTCTTGTTATATATGTTTCTTGGCATTTTTCATTTTTTAAACAACATTCTTATCCAGCCAAATTGGTTGTCTTTCCTATATGGTACATATGTATTTTCAGGATAAAAATCTTCCTAAGTTCCTGTGTTATGTCTGGTTTGTACCTTAAAACTTTGGCTCTAAATCAAAGGTCTAGACTAATTGGTAAAACTCTCAAAACATACACAGAAAGCAAGAAGTGTTTTACTTTTGAGAGCAGACAGAAAGTTAAATTCTGTCTCAAAGAGAAATGACTTAGATGTACAACAGAAAAGGAACTGAAGCAATGCTGATGAATGTTAGTTTTACAGCATGAAGAAAAAATAATAATAGATCAGCCAATATAGCAAGTGGATGGAAACAAACTGTTGAGATCTTCTTGCTTTCCAGGTGGTGTATCCAAAGGGTGCCTCTTGGTATTCGCTTCAGTTTGTGGTCCAAAGGGAAGAGAAGGAGGGCTGCGAGTTAATGTCTTACTTGGTGTTTAGGCATCAGCTCCAGGGAATGCAGCAGTCATGGGATACTTTAACAGATGGTATGCTAACTCCTTCAGAAATTTAAACAGTGGCTGAAGAGAAGGCAACGAGACTGATCAGAAGCAAACATGGAAGTGCTTGTCCTAGGCAGCGTGCAGCAGCAGCGTTCAGAGGCTGGCACCTTGCCTTTTGAGACATAAAGCTCAAGACCAGGAAGGACCAGGCTTTTCCTGGCCTAGCCCCATGCAGGTTAGGTAGGCAGTGGACAGAGGCACAGCCAACCGGCCGTTCAGATTTAATAGAAGCCTTCACTTAGGAACCTGTATCTGGAGGCAGAGAGGGGCGGGAAGGCAAAGCCCAGGGAGGGCTGTGGCAGCAGCACGGGCACCCCGAGCCAGCCGGGTTGCAGCGGGCACCGACCTCCAGGGGCAGCTGCTGAGACATCCCAGCCAGTAACACTTTGGGATGTTTATAGCCAGGGCTAGACAGGATGGAGCCCTGGGCTCGGCACCTGCATCCCCGCACACCCTGTATCTGCGCAGGGACGTTTCCGGCACGGCTTCCGCGTGGGCATAAACCCCCACGCGGGGTTATGATGTTCATTCCAGCTCGACACTGAAGAAAGGCCGGGCCGGGGG